TCGAAAAGTTTGTGATACGATTTTAAGAGACTTAGCATCTGTGCTCTTTGATGACCGGTGGGGTTCCTATCGATGGTATTCGGAAGGCGATCGAAAGCATCATTTTCTTTGATAGGATCTTGGGAAAACGGTTGCGAGGAGGGTGTGTCGTTGAGAGCAATGATATTGATGTCAGTCGCCAATGTTACGGTGCCTAGAACTGTGTGCTCCGGTATTAGTGTGGACTCGGGTGTAACGTTGATTATGATGTACGTCGACACTGGGCCAATATGGGCGATGCCACGTGGGACGAGCAAACCTTTTTTTTCCAATAAGGCAGAAGTGGGCGTGATGAAGTAATCTCCCGGTGAGAGTGAACAGCAATTAATGAGAACGAAAGATGAACTTCGAGGCGTAATAACAGTGTCTTCTGATGCTCGTACTTTGTTTACCAGCGCAGAAACATGCTGGTCGTCATCAGGCAACTCCTGGAGGGAAAGCTGTGAATTCTCGCAAAAAATGATTGCATGAGTAATAGAAAGGAAATCCCAGCCAAGGATGATTTCATGTGTGCATGATGAGAGGACGACGAATTGAACTGAATATAATAGGCCCTGTATTATAATCCGTGCTGTACAAAGTCCGACGGGTTTAAGTAAGTTTGATCCTGCAGTTGTGAGATTACCTTCAAACGGTGTCACGACTTTCTTGAGGCGTCGACAGAGATCTAAGCGCATAACGGAAATAGAGGCGCCTGTATCAATTAATGCTTGTACGTTTTGACTTTCAATTTGGATTACGACGACGTTAGAGGGGGGTTGATGAGGACTTGAGCAGTATGAAGATGTCGCAGCTGGTGCCTCAGGAGCTGCGGTTAAAAGTTTCCCCCTTGTGATGGAGCAGTGGACCCTGATGGGACCATAGGGGACATTGAGCGGTGACGTTGCGGTGATGGCGACTGTGGACGCGAAAATCCCGGTGAACTACCGGCGAACCTTGTGGTTGGAGAGTTTGACCGGGTGTATCCGGGAGTCTGGTTATAATGGGTGGGGTCCGCAGTGATGCTTGTATGGGCGTTTGCAGACTCTTCGGCTTGGCGGCGACGGCATACGCGCATAACGTGTCCTGGTATGCCACAGTAATAGCAGGTAGGGCGGTTGTAGAGCTGTGGGCGAGTAGCCTGCTGGTGTGGTTGAGTGTATCCAAAGGGTTGTACGTATGGCATGGTTACAGCAGGATAATGAGGTCGGAGCATTGGAGGTGAAGCAGCAATTTCTGCGTAGGTCGGCAGCATGGGCTGTGCCGGTGCTGTAAGCGGCGAGGATATAGGCACGGTAGACGCAATCTCGTTCTGGACGAGGGACCGGAGTGCCGATTGTGTTGGTGTAATTGACGGCTGTGTGAGTTAAAGAGCTTGCGAAATTTCCTCGCGAACAATCTGCTGGATGAGCTGGCGCAAACTGTTGATGTTGATATATGTTGATGGCCCCGATATACTGCTCACCTCAGGAAGACGTTGTACTGTAGCGGCTGAGGCTAAGCGTTGGGTTTTTAGTTCTTGGAACTGCTGACAGATTTCCACAATCTTGCTAACGGTGGTTGGATTACTCACGAGGATAACTTGGAAAACATCCTTGGCGATTCCCTTTAAAAGATGACGGACCTTTTCGGGTTCCGTCATGTTGATATCAACTCGGCGGCAAAGATCCAGCACGTCTTCGATGTAGGACGTGAAGGTTTCCGTTGGCTGCTGGGCCCGCGAGGACAGCTTTCGCTCGGCCACAATCTGTCGGATTGTAGGTCTTCCGAAAACTTCCTTAAGGCGGGTAGCGAATGTCGCCCAGCTGTCAAATTCTTGCTCGTGGTTGAGGTACCACAGTTTTGCGACACCGGATAGGTAGAAAACCGCGGTGGTCAGCTTAGTGACATCGCTCCAGTGATTGTATCGACTGGCGCGGTCGTAAGCGTCAATCCAGTCATCCACGTCGGCGTCCCCGACTCCGGAGAATAAGGGAGGCTCACGTTGGCGAGCGGTGAGTACCGATGGGGCCGTGGTGTCGGCTTGGGTGGCCGTGGAAGTTGTGGTGGTATTCATTCCGACAGAGGGATGCGGCATTGGTGTTGTCGATGTGAGGGCTCGGCTTCTCAGCTCCACGGCTGACGTCGAGGGAGGTGGGGAAGCCCGCACCTCCACCACTTGTAGCGTACAGGGAAGACCAGGCGGTGGGAGTCAGGACAGGTCCGCTTTTACTACCGTCTGCCCAGCCTCTTAGCCGAGAATAAAAAAAAAAGGGCGCGCGCGAGCGTTGTCTTCTTCCCCGGTCCCATCGCACAGCGTCGTCTTCGCTACAATATATATATATATATATATATATATATATATATATATATATATATATATATATATATATATATATATATATATATATATATATATATATATATATATATATATCAAAACTCACAAAGAAACCATATAAAAAAAATTAGGTTAGAATACATGTTGTGAAGAGTGCGAAGTGGTGCTCGGAATGGGCTGGGCTCTTTTATTGTTACTATGTTATCGGGGAGTGAATTCCAGTCGGTAATAGACAGCTGTAAGGGGTAAAGTTTGTAGATGCTAGTTCTTTGAGTAGAGACATGAAGTTTCCGTGTGTTGTCTGTGCGTGCCGAGATATGACTGGCAGCTCTGCAATACTTATATTTTTGAATGACGAGTGATAGTACAACTGATGGTGGGCAATCAACTGTGACATCTTCCCAGGGTCTGCAAGAAGTGGAAGCTTAAGTTGATGCTTTAGTGCTGTTATGCTTGTGCGAGTGTAGTTGCGAAGTATGAAGCGACTAGCTAGCTCGGTTTTGTATGGGTTGTAGCTTATTGATTAGATATGACTGATGCGGATTCCAGATGCCAGATGCATATTCAAGCTTGGGTCGAATGAGAGATGAATGTGCGATCAGCTTTGTGTTCCATGTTGCAAGGTAGAGGTGTCGCCTCAGGAAACCGAGGGTTTTGTTAGCCTTTGCAATAATATATTTTTTGTGAGGCTCCCATGAAAGGTTGGAGGTGAAGTGGACCCCAAGATATTTGTATGCAGGAACATTTTCAATAATCGTGTTGAAAATGATGTAGTTGGACTGTGTTGATGTACGCTTGGTATAAAAGTTGAGAAATTTTGTTTTGGAAACATTGATTTTCACCTGCCACTCTTCACACCATGTTTCGAGATATGTCAAGTCGTTCTGCAAAAGCGCGCAATACTCCAGTATTTTTATTTTCCGGTAGATCACACAGCCGTCGGCATATAGTCTAATTTTGGACATAATACAAGTTGACCAGTCATTTACATATAATAGGAACAGTAACATACCTAGCACGGTTCCCTGAGGCGCAACCGATTTGACATTTTGTTCTGGGGAATCTTTATCGATATAATTAACGCTTTGTGTATGGTTAATAACAAAATTTGAAATCCGCTCAATTACAAAAGGGTCTGTTTTCAATTAATGAATCTTTAACATGAGAAGGTGATGAGTCACTTTGTCGAAGGCTTTTTGGAAATTGATAAAGATGGCGTGCATTTCTGTGCGGGAGTGCAGGTTTTCATGCATCTCATTAGTAAACACAAAAAGCTGTGTTTTGTAGGAGTGGGAGCATCGGAAACCGTGCTAGTTTAGAAGGAAGTAGTTGTGCGGGCATAAATAGTTCATTATGTATAAAAATACTATATGTTTCTTGAGGTTACTGGGCACGTTTGTCAAACATATCGGTCTATAGTGAGAAAAATCATTCTTAGAATCACTTTCATAAATTAGAATTACGTCAGCATGGTTCCAGTCGTCGGGTATTTTACCAGAGTCTAGAGATTGTTGAAAAATCAAGGAAAGAAGAGATGAGCACTCATTTTTACAAAGTTTGAGAAGCTTCGATAATATTTTGTCAGGGCATGGTGCCGAGTATGAAGGTAGGTCGTCAATCAGTTTCATAATGCGAGATGCGTAGAAGGTTAATGGGGTAATTTCTTTGTAAACAATAACATCTGGATAAAAATCTGGAAGAGGAAAAAACGTCGTTGAAATACAGATCGAACTGTTTACATGTCTCAGCAGTGCTCATCTCATTTCCGAACGATCAGTGTAAGGGAAAAATTATTTATCCTATTTTAAGTTAACAACAGTTCAGAACTCTTTCAGGTTGGTCCTCATAATTTTACTAAGAATCCTTATTATAAAAATTCGTTTTTTGGGGTTATTTATTTCGAGTTTAGACGCATGTTCACATTGGTTGTGTCTCTCTCAAGCATCTGCAGACTGATAAAGCGTGGCAGTCTTGTAGAAGCGCTGTTTTATTTTGTTCAGTAGCCTCTTTAACCGTGACGAAAACCAAGGTTTTTAAACACACGAGTCAATGCTCATTTTGGAACTGTGTAAATATGCTAGGTCATGCCATTTTGATTTAAGTAACACCCAAGTTTTGTTAAACAATCTACAACCAAAGTCAGCTAAACACCGGCCCCAAAATGGGGGCGGGGCGGGGCGGGGCGGGGCGGGGGCAGTAGGAGACGACGAACTTACGATATTTTTCCGGAAAAGTAATGAGAAAGCAAAGTTTCGCAAAGTGCCTGCAGATAAGCGATGGCGCTGCCATCGCTTTATTCTCTGTCTGTCCTGTTCTTTCGTACTGCCTCTCCCAGTTTTGGTGGTCAAAAGGGGGCCGCCATCTTGAATTGTCGTCACTTCCAGTATGGGGCGAAAACATTGTTTTGCCGTCGCCACGCCAATAGAAGACATTTAGAATATAAGCGTAATCATAACAAATTTTCGTTTTCCCTCCCCTCTATTTTTTACTATTTACAGGTTGAACTGTTTTATTATTTTTTCGTCACCCTTCACTATTAGGTAAGGGTGACGAAAAAAATAATAAAAAAATAAAAAATAAATCGTCACCACGCCTATTAGGTTGCTGGGGACGAGAGTACACGAAAGAGGTCTATACGAGGCTAACAGTGAGGTTCTCGCACCTGGCTGTCTAGGCCGAGCGTGAGCAGCATGAAGAAGAAGAGGAATGCCCAGAGCGGGGCCACCGGCAGTCTGGCCACCACCTCGGGGTAGACGATGAAGGCCAGCCCCGCCCCCTGGTCGACCACGTGCTCCACCTCCACGTTCAGCTCGTGGGCCAGGTAGCCGATCACCGAGAAGATGACGAAGCCCGCGAAGATGCTCGTCAGCACGTTGCTCACCGACACGATCAGGGAGTCCCTGCGTAGGGCGGAGGGCGCGGTCGAACAACGTCCATGTAACGAGGTCGTAGTGCTTGACATGTTTACGTCATCTACCGAAGGCCAGCATGTAGTACTGATTGCAAATGACCGCTGTGTCAGTCTTAGGCATAGAGTTATTATAATGTACGCTAGAGGTTCAAGTGGCGCTAGTGTGCTGACGCAAATTGAAGCAGACAGCAACCAGTCGAAAATTGACTTCCGGTAATGTATTTCTATGGGAAAAAGCGAGTGCATTTTCTCTCTGCGCTCGATCGTAAGAGCAAATATCCCAAATAATTCGTACGTACTAGGTAGTTTTGAACATTTCTCAGTCAGGCCGACGAAAGAATTGGTCAGTTGCGGCGTTTTTCTTACGAATTCATCGCATTAAAAACGGTGCTAAAACGGCTTCGTACGTGTATTTATGTGCACTGTCGGACACTGTTAGCGCGAACGCGGCGTCGGCGATTTACAGCATGGGGGATATATATACATGCCAAACGAACGGGGGACATCGGGAAAATCGAGAGCGGCGGCAAGAGCTACGCAGTAACACTGGATCAGTAACTCGCAGTGCATGTACGATCAAAATAAATTGAAGGCCACGTAATCCATTCCGATTTTAAATAAGTAAGTACCGCTTTATTCTTTCTGCCCTGAGCGAAGCTGCTTGTTCTACGTTCAAAATATCACCCGAGCGCTCGATATCTTTGAGAACAAGTGCGCGATAAAAGCCGTCCGGCAGAGAAAACAATACGAAGAGACACCTTTCATAGCCCACGGACTTTATTATCTACGTTTTGAAGGTTTTTATCCGCTCATGCACCACGGGATCATTTTTATATAGTGACAGGACTGGCATATTATCAATATACAATCGTCACCGGAATGCTGGCGAGCCTTGAACCCACTCTATATTCGTTTCGATTGTAATTTTGCTTTGAATCGTCGCTTGTTTTTACACACCTGCTGCGGAACACACGTTTGGGATTGAAATGTAGCGAAGATAAACATCGTTCACTGATGAATAAAAATGCGCTAACTTAAGCAATTACACTTTCACAGTGTTAATCAAGGTACATACTATTCGGTACGACCCAAATAACCAAAGTGTTCCGTGTTATTTTCCGGCGAAGAGGAAAAATGCATGCTCGTTTTCCCATAGAAATGCACACGAGCACCGCAAAAGTAGACTGGTTGCTGTCTGCTTCAATTTGCGTCACGGAAGTCGCATAGACACTAGCGCCAGTTGAACCTCTAGCGTACATTATAATAACTCTATGGTCTTAGGCTGGGGGTCGTGTTCAGCTAGTGAGGACACAACTCTCAGCCGAACACTGACGTAGCACGTACGTTCAATATGCGTCCCAAAGACGCGGTTCTGAATCTTCAGCGTTACCTAACGAAGGTCAGCACACGCGGTAAAGTGTGCACGCGAGGGCGGGGCCAGCGTTCGGCAGTGACCCGTGTTAAATTATTGAGGCCGAGTCCCAGAGAAACATTTCAAATGGAAAAAATGTAAACTTTGATAAGAAATATTGTTTTCATTGATCAGCTTTTCAACGTTGCCATTCGATGTTTTCATTGATCAGCTTTTATGAGGCGAAAAGTGCTTAAAAACATCGATACTCGTGAAAGCAATGTTGCTATTCAAAGGTCTTCAAAATATTGGTGAATATAGTTTACGAAGGATTTGTCCTTTTGCGATGGAGATGTGTGATGCTTAAGTTCACACTTCCCAAACTTCTAAACTGTCTAAATAAAAAAAAACAAAGAACAAAAAAACAAAACAAAAAAAACATTGATGTTGAAGGAACTTTTTTCTCTCAACTTCTTGACGTTTTCTTAAAACGGTAAGAGGGTGCTCATTTATGTTTGTACTAAGTGCTCATATTATGATTTTATAATTTATTTCTGTTATTCTTTTGTATTGACTTTCGCGGCTACGAGCTCTGTTTCTTTAATAGGGGGTCAAGAACCTGTCAAGTTGTCTCGACACAGGTTTTTTCATTTGTGTCCTCCATTGGTGTACATTAATGTAAATGAAACGACTTATTATTATTTTTATTATTAAGTGAGAGGAGGTGCGAGCATTAGAGATCCTAAACTCATGAGAATAGAATTGATTGTAGGAACGATTAAACCTCAGAAATCACAATGAACCACTCTCGTAAAATGCTCGATATCCTATTATGACAAATTAAAGTTACACAGGAAACAGAATAACACGATAATAATAATAACACAGTATCTTGCACTAGGTAAAAGGTGCCCTAACCTGAAAATACAAAAGGTATTCGTATTTACTAAAGTTTGATAATACATGTTGACGAATTAAAATTACGCAGAAAGCACGAGCCTGTAGAGATAATACATAATTTTTCATGGAAAATTGTGTTTTGAAAACGGAAACACTAGGGAGTTGTGGAACATCGTACCTAAAAGATTCGCGTACCGAAAGAAATAGCGTCGTCTCCACTCCCCATGTGCTGAACACAACCTGCGTTTTGGATTGACGCATGGTGACGACGCTAGCTATTTCTTCTGGTACGATATCCCAAAGATCTATACTAATCACAGCAACGACAATATTTGAAGTTCTTAAAACAGTAGGTGCAAATGATATGCGATTGTTTCACTCGAACAGACATGACCCGACGGGCCGCCTATACGTGGTTGCACTTACTTGTAGCAATCGTTGTGAAACTTGTTGTATGAAGAGAGTGTAATGAGACCCCCCCAGGCCGGACTCAGGGCGAAAAATATCTGAACGGCAGCGTCTCCCCATACCTAAAAGAAACCAGTAAAAATCAAAGGCATTAACATCAGTTTGAACCAGGGTGTCGAACCGGAACCGAACCGAACCGAAAACCGGAACAGAACCGTTATTTTTAGCCGAACCGGAACTGAACCGAACCGAAATCTTCGCCGCCATCTTGGAACTGAACCGGAACCGAACCGAAAAAAATATAACGGTAACCGGTTCAAAACGGTTCAAGGTAATATTTTTTTTCTTCTTTGCTAGTATCACAAAATGAACATATGGGAATAAACAACTGGCGGCTGTATTTCTATCTGTTGATCGAATCGTCATATACATAATTGCAACGTATGATAAATTGTGGGTTTTCATGGCACCTTTGTTGGCACTATGATTAACCATGTGACAAGTTGTCAAGTGACGTCATGGTGTCAATACATGTTGTCAAGTAATGTCACCTGGCCTCGTGACGTCATGTAACTCACTGCGTTAAGTCGATTTAATTTGAGGAAGTCACTAGATGTATTAACCTTGTTGACAGCATGACGTAACATGACATCACGATTTCGTACCGAGAGTCACGTAACACCGTGACGTAAGCGATTGTCATAACCCCTAGTCGAGTGCATGGGTTCATGACAATCAGCATCGCCAAACATTCGTGTAATGCTCATGTCAAATTAATATGATAATTAATAGCCCAACTCTAACACTATCTGAAGCTTAGCCCAAGCTTTTGCTTTCGAAACCCTAGCCGCCTAGGGCATGACTGTGATGAACACTGGCGGTATATAATTAGCGTCAGATCACGTGGCCGCTTGTTCAAATTGCGAGTTGAGGAGACATCGACAGCTGTCTCTGTCCTTTATTTTTTCTGCATCTGTTATTAGGAGAAAACTAATGGATGTTTCCGCAACCTATCAACGTCAAGGGTTATTTCTGAACACTATTTATTGAAAACACAAAAAGAAATGTTGCAAGACCAATTTTACATTATTGAGGCATTGAAACATTTTTTCGTTGTTGCTGAAGTATGTCCAAAAGATGTCCCTGAGAATAGAAGTTTTGAAATGACTAAATGCGACCTATTAATATGACGTTACATAGAACTACACATGTGTACGCAAGGAATACCCAAAAAAATAAGATATTTTAGTGATGTGAGAGGAACAGTCGAACGTTGGCAGTCGCTGTAAGTCTCACACGAGCGTCGTTCTCAAGTTATTGCCCAAGTTTCGACCCCTCTGTATTTTGTTTAAATGAGCTATAACATATTTCTATACATTACTAAATACTACTCAGGATCAGTCTCTAACGTTAATAACTGATTGAACTTGGCTTTGCTCTTTTTTCTAGGCAATGGTAGTCGCCGAAAAAATTAGAGAAATATGAGCATCGTTCATCCCCTCAACTCGGAGCCAGAAGCGGCCACGTGGCCTGGTGCCTATCTTATGCCGCCCACGTTAATCATACCTCGCGCTGGAGTTTTAAAGGAAGAAAACGCGTGCTGGAGCTCCAGGCATTGTTAGAGTTCGACTATTCTCATCACCACAGTGGTTGGACACGAGCCACTACCCAAGTGTCCGCCGAGGCATTGATTGTTACGAGCCGATGTACGGTGCTCACACAGTTCTCCTGCCCAATCCATGAGTCGCGTTCGACTGTCGACAGGCGGGTGGTTTTGATCCCACAGTTACGGCATTAATCTTTTGAGAAGGCAAGACTAAAAGAAATAGTCTCGTTCAATCCTCGCAATTGCACCGCTACAAAGAAGCTTCTGAATCAGTGGCGCCCTGTGCGAGTACACTTGGACCAGGGGACCAGTACGCCTCGGAAAAGTTATGCACATTCCAACCCGATATCGTTTCATGACCCCTTTAAACTTCACGGGGTGCAAAATAAAAGCATTGAAAGGTTGCGGTTAACAAGTGTCAAATAAAATTGTCGAATTAACAGACACAAACGAAGGAGGTAATTCCTCAGGAATACTTTCAGCCTTTCCACTCTGGTGAAGAAGGAAGGCCAGAAATGTTGTACTATGGTGGGAATAAAGTAATGGCCGGCCGCAAGTCGGCAAGCCAGACTGGAAAGGCTGGAGGGGTTGCCGCCATTTATGAGCGACGGTGGCAACCAAACAACTGGCAAGCCGGCTGTCTGGTTGCCGTCGCCATTTATAGATGGCGGTAACGCATGGCTGTATAAAGAAGTGCGTCTGTGTGTGGGGCCGGGGGGGGGGGGATGGGGGAGTTTTAGAAACATACTGTGTTGTAAAGGTTCCTCTTCCCTGCATCTTTGGCGCAGACCAAAAAGCGTGACCCCGGAAACTACTTTGATTGGAAAAGCGCTCTTGCCAAAAAGCACGTTTTTGTCGTGCCAGACGCTGGCACCGTTCCTCACGACGATGCACTAAGAATAATAATACTAGCCTTTCAAATACTTTGGTTTCACTGAGCTTGCACCTCCTGTAGGGTGCCTTTTTCGCCGCCAAATTCGACTTTCTCAGCAAGAAGGAATCAGAATGACCACCAGCCTATAGTGTGATAACGTCACGTGCATACCATGCTAAATAGTTCAGCTTTCTGGTGAAATATGATGTTCGCAACACTAGCCATAGATGTCCTAATTGTAAATTTGTGAACTATTTATAGCAGTCTCGCGATGAGATATGGCAGCCTAGAGAAATGTTAGAACGCATGACTATTCTAGCATAGTGCTGTAAAGTGGCGGTTCAAAACAAGTGCAGGTAAAACCGAATATAACATTTGCCTCCCGAGGCAGTATTTCGGAAGTTTCGAGCTCATGCAAGCTGATGAGATGTAATATACCAAGATTTCAAGAATCTTTGTCTGTCCTTCGCGCTATTTATGTAAAATCATGAATATCATTGCGTGCATCTTTACGCATCTCTTTTTGCAGTAAGGCATTCTGGAAGGGATTATTTGGAAAACATAACATTAATTATCTCTCTCTTTTTGAACATTTCGTGTATTTGACTTCCAATTCATCATGTGAGCATAGAGTCCTTTTTAGCGTACCCTGCAACCCGATGTTTCACACTGCCAATCAGCAAACAGAAAAACACTTTTACGTAGACTCCACAGCTCGCGTAGTTTCGAGTATCGTCCTTCCAAGTCGGTCTCAAGCGGTTATGTGAACTTTATAAAGTAAAATTTTTTTATCAATATAAAATATATTTAATTACTAATTGAATATTTGACAACATAAATAGAGGGCCGACCACTCTAAAGCAATGCCCCCCAAATTATTTGAAAGCGGTTCTGCCAATCTTTTCCGGCGTTTTTATCCTCGACAGGAATGTTGTAAGTGATATGGGACGGCCTTACATACATTTCTGATTTTGAAGCTAATTTAAATAACTATGTGTTCCTTACACATATAACTTCTCAAACATATAGAAGTCTGTTATTGCCTTTTTTATCTGGTGAACATTAGTTTTATGTGTCTGTGGGTTGGACGAAAAGAAAGTAAACAGGGGCGCGCGGTGGAACTATGATGATTACGCACGCAAACCGTCAGAAAGTGTCCAATTAGGTAGCTGCCTTGTCGAGTAGAACGTGAAATACTACTTCGTTTTACTAAACAAAAAATAATTTTGAAGGACGCTTAAGCTTCGCCTTTAAAAGTGGAACGCGATCGCGTCAACGGGCCTCGTTTGCATCGCATTCTCATTTGCCGCGCAAGCGTGCCTCGCGTGGCCTAGTGAAGAGCGTCTGACTCGCAACTAAAGGGTTGTGGGTTCGAATCCTGCCTAAAATTTTTAATTTTTTCTTTAAGGCAAAGGAATTACTTTCAAAAGTGATATCATTTAAAACATACGGTGACCTTTATTTCGTATTACATATCATGTTTTAATCACCCTCATTCCACGCGTGATGTCACGTTTCACGTAAGCATTGTGGGTTGTTTGAAATTCTTGCGCTAGGGTATGTAGCTCTGACGTCATGAACCTATCGACCAATCAGGATTTTCCAGTCACGCCACCGACATCGGTTTTTCTGCGACATGAGCTCGTTAACGCTATCGTGTTAAAATCATCAATTAGCAAGGGTGATGCTCATTTGCAAATTAAATTGTCCGGCATCTTGTCAACAACAAACCTCAACAGCCAGGCTATGCCTGCATATTCTGTATAAGAAAATGTTCACTTGGGCAAGCGCTATTTTGGGCCAGATTCGATCTGAGTGCGAAGGTGCGTATATATATTAGAGTGAACAATTGCAATTACTCCTTGCTCCATGATTAGTCGCATGCGTGCGGTGCTGAGTGTAAACAATGCTTAGTTAGAACAACAGGCATTTGGATTGCCGCTCGGTGTTTCTATAAAAGATAGACTGAAAGGAGTTATCCTAAAACTTTGTTACATTTCGAAAATTTCATTGCCTTTAGCTCACTTGGGTCGTCATTATATATATATATATTGTGAAGTGTATTTCATAAACCTTATTTCATGATATATGGCCACAAGGTGCATACTCATTTCATATTTTTATGTGATGTAATTAATTCCTTAGTTCAACGACACGATTTCACTTTTAATACTGACACAGAAAGTTGTACCAATCACGGGTATTTTAGACGACCTACCACACCTCGCGACAACATTTTATACCGTGTAAATAGATCAGCTTGAACTTTAGAATTTTACTTTAACACGAACAAAGGACAAGAAAATACAGCATAACTCTAAATTAGAAGCTGATTTATTTACAGGTATGTACCAACAAGCTCAACTCTTTACTCTTGTACTTAAACATTTTGATTCAGGCAAAATATATTTTACTCGTAAACAAAGAGATATTGAGACGTATGAACACGACGTTATGTATGTTAATGTAGATTTTCTTCTACTCTTGCGTCAAACTAAATAACTGAATTTAATATTTTTGGAACCTAAGAACAAAAACAAATTGCACAGACGATCGAAGAAACTATATAGTTAATCGTTTCACAACGGAAATAGTGTATATTGCCAACAGAACGCGGAAAATATATTCTTAATTTAGCGGTTCAAACCGGTTCGAACCGGTTTGAACCGTTATTTTTGGCTCCCCGGAACTGCACCGGAACCGAACCGAAAGCCGTGAACCCGAACCGGAACCGAACCGAAAAAAATTTCGGTTCGACACCCTGGTTTGAACACAGTGCTTCAAAATCGTTACATTACATGTTTCACCAATGTCGAACGAAAATCACAATAAATTTGCAAACATGGAAATATTTGACCGGATGTCCGAAAAATAAGGTTCTTAATGCCTAGTTTAATATATTGTCTAAAGTAAACGTTTAGCACCAAATGAATATGTTATCGAATAGTTAGTATAAACGTAACTGTTTTCCACAGTTAACCCAATGTCAATAGCCAAAGAAATATATACTGTAAGCGGATTGTAACTAAAATTGTGTAAAGATAAAACTATGGGCTGGTTGGTACACAGCTTGGAAGAAAAGCATCGAAAGAACAGGAACCAAGAAGTAAGCAGAGGCGACATATAGAGAAAGACTTCTCTGTCTGCTTTTTGGTCCCTGCTAATTCGGCGCTTTTCCAGCAAAAATACTAAATCGACTTCCCAATAAGTGGCGGATACTCTATATACTTGGATTCTTACACAATTATGTCGTCCCATATGACACACGTAGCTTCTATTAAAAAGAAACTGTTCATTAATAATGCTTTCTTCCATACATTAGAGTGACTTTGTTTGATCACCCAAGCCAAAAACCCACAATACATTTCTGTAGTTCCGAAGCCATTCAATATTTCCTAGATCACAAAACCCTAAGGCTGCATTCTATCCATAATCTCCATCACCTATCGGAGGTCAAGGCATGAATTGGACAAAAGTGCTGAGTCACCTTTCGGCCGGGACACGTGTTCAGTCAGTGGGAACGCGAGTCCCAACCGAACGTCGACAGAGCACTCGAGCCCCACCTGTAACCCATGCCGGCCTACAATAGGTGACGTAGTGAATCTAGCAACGTGGCCTTGTTATTCAGAAGGTGCTGACTGGGCGCCCCGATTACCTGGGGAGTGAGCAGGAGCCTCCAGTTGGGGGTGACGTAGAACCTTATGCCCTCAATGGCGCCGGGCAGTGTCACACCACGAAAGAACAATATCACCAGCACCACGTAAGGGAACAGTGCTGTGAAGTACACCACCTGAGAAGAATCACAAAAATTGAAAGGATGGCCGACGTCTCGAACTAAACCAGCAAGAACCTCGGTTTATGAAGTTCTTTAATCTTAGAAACTCGTAATATCGCATAATTCTGAAAATCCGGACTGCTTCTGAGATGAAAGCAGTTTGGAAAAATATCTTCATCTCAGAAGCTGCTTTCATTGTAAAAAAAATGTGCTTTCTTATCATAGAAAACTGCTTTCGTTGCAAAAGTGTGTTAAGGGAGCAGGATATATTGCTCTGGTGGGTAAGCAAAGCTGATGTAAGTGGCCGCACTAAACCGAATACTACAGTCATTGGCGAGGTGAGAACGGCATAGAGGAGTTTCAGTTGTCCCGCCTTAGTGTGAGCCTCCAACAATTTAAGAAGGCTTCGGAGTTAGGAGCACCTCGATAGCTCGCGAGCAGCCAATACGCAGCGGACGGCATTGTGCGCGCGCCGGAGGCCGTGTGTTCAGAAGACCCGCCATGCCGTTCTTACTCTGTCTGTAACTATAGCGTCTTTACAAATGCAATCTAAAGAAAACGAAAGCCACCAAGCACGCTCAGCGCCCAACAGAACCGACAAATCATAAAAAAATATGACCTGCAAGAGACCGTCGAACTTCGCACTTCATGTGCTCAGCGTCCCAGCATACACGTTCCCAGGGCTTATTATCCAGGCGAAAAATGCCGAGGCACTTGGCTGTAGACGAATGCGCGGCGTCTGATATCCCGCGTTCTGACGACGCTTTCAACCAATACCACCTATGCGTAGCGCAAGTTCGTCTGCTACTTTTGCAAGGGCTGTGGTGACGTCAGAACGCCGAGCTTTGATTGGCTGTGATTGAAGGATAGTGGGTAGACCCATAGCCTCCTTTAGACTCACAAAGCCTGGAAGTTCGACGACGAAGCCATAGAGCGCCCGGTCGCAAATTTGGAGCGCTAGGATCTGATAGCCCAGAGCATCAAAGAGCCATTTCTCGGAAAACCTGGACGTCAGCGCACAGCGTTTGCAGCGGCGAGGACCCAAAACACACTTGTTCGCTCGAGCGAAGCGTGTTTCGGCGTCTCGCCGCAGTGGGGCCAGTCACTCTCATCCGTTGTCTGCCGCTCCACCTTTTCCATTTCGGCGGCGATCTGCCAGGCTTTGTCAGTGTATAAGAGGCTGTGGAAGACCTCCATGCTAGATGCCTCGGGGTCTACCCACTATTTGTTCCATTGAGGAAATAAGAGCTCGGCGTTCTGACATCACCGCAACCCCTGTGAAAGAAACAGACGAACTTGCGCTCTGTATTGGTCCAACAGCCCAGTAAACAAGGGTGGCAGAGCGCTGTAAGGATCTATGCACGGCATTTTTGTCAGATGCCAGGACAGAGCATGCGATTAAAAAGGTTACACCCAACACTCACTTTTCCTGAGGACTGTACGCCTTTGCAAAGGCAGAGGAAGACAATGATCCAGGCAAGAAGCAGACACAGCGCCAGGGGCCACCGTATTTCTCCCGTTTCTCGTATACTAGGCGACTCTCCCAACACGAAGAACCTGCGGTAGAAAGCGACGGGTGATATCAAGATGCGCGAAATGTCAACGTTGCTGCAGAATCATTAGTTTCGACTACGGTGTAAGATACCTTTTAGGTGAGGACAGACAGTATGGAGAACGCTGTGACACGATCGACTAGATAATGTCCTATTTGTGCGCGCCAAAGCAGCCTATGCTGACAGCGTCTCCGCCGGCCAGAGTGAGGAAAACAACAACCACAAAAAAGTGTCTTGTTGCCATGACACCCGGTGCGTGTGCTTACTGCTGGGTGCGCCTGCCCTGACCTCGACGGTCTCTGGTCTGAACGCAGCACAGATATCTCTCTGTCGTCGAGACATGAAACTAGTGTCAATGACGAAGCTGCGGCTAAGCAACATACGTAGCGTATGTGTCAAGTTCTACATGACATGTCACACCTAGAAAATATTTAAACACAAGCAAAAGGCTACCGCTAGCCGGTTATTGAGGAGCCATCTGGTGGCGCCGATTGCAACCAAGGCGAGGAGAAGATTTTATCTTGCAGCTGCGAAGCGTACGGTGTCCATACCTATCTAATTTACAGCAAGGTTCCGATGCACGACTTGCGAAAATGTGACGTGAAAGATGTGCAATTAAAAACAACCTGTTTGGCATCTTGAAGAACATTTTTGGCTTGATTTGCTAGATGATAGGTTAGACTATAACTTTTCATCTTATGTTCCGGATCAGTGATGCGCATAATTACTTATTGCGTCGTTATTTTCATTTTGCAATGTTTTTTTTTTCATAATGTACTTATTTCCTCTACTCCGTTGCAAATTTTGATTTTGTTAATAGACTCGAGAGCAGCCTCTTCGAATATGGGAACAAAGAAGGATGGTGTATCGATAGGAAATAAAATAAAAGGAACGCATAAACGAATCAAAGAGAAAAAGAAAAGGCAGCGTCGTGACAAGTGGCGTTTTTCTTCTCAAATTCCAGGCAGGAAGGCAATCGCGGCAGTTTTGTTATAGTGTACTAGGATGGTATGGGGACCCAGGAAACACCTCAGAGCCAACAAGAGCGTATGTATACGTCCCGTGCGAGAAGCCCGCGCGGGCAACAGATTGGGCACAACCGTTAAGTGAGCATTTAACTGGGATCTAATTTTTATAGTCATTGTATGTTTATTCAACAACGCATATCTGGAAATATTTTTGAACTGGGTTTAATTGTATTTTTTTCTTTATAAAAGTACACTATTAGTATACCGTTCAATTACTGCTTTTTGTCAAGATTAAAACTGGTCAGTGCCGTCATCACTTTATTGAAAACATATGTTCTTCATTTTAAATGCCGCATAACAGAAAAAAATAATGTTACCTGAAGTATTCTGCCGAAGGGGTTCTCTTGGCCATCCCCTTTATAAGCTCAGAAATGTTGAGTGCTTGCGCCATGCTTTGGTTGAAGCATGTCTGGTTGTAGTACGAGCCATTCTCCTTGAAGCAGGCGTCCGCATCTTCGTACTGGTAACAGGCTGCAGTTCCAGAAACAGGCAGTCATCAGTGGTCAAGTCATTGAACGTATAATATACGCAGAAAAAGGGAACCTCGTTGAAATCCACTGCTCCTAGTCGTTTGCGTCGGCACCCATTTTTTAAACTGTGGAGAACGGTCCTTCATTTTAAAGCGATATCGTTATATGTGTACCTGCACAAACTTTGCTTGCTCGTGTTAGTTTCGTGTCGCATAATAGGAAGGTCAAGGGAGAAAGTGTAAACAACGAAGTGAACGAGCAGCTGGTGGTTAGAAGTTATAGCCCGCGCAACCAATGGCGTTGCACGACGCATAGTGTGTGTGGGGGGCTAAAGGACTGCACTAGCACCCCCCGCCCCTCGCCCCTATGGTCTGCTGTTTCAGAACACGGTCTGTGTAATAGGCAGGCAACTACGTATTGTCGTCCGTGAAGTGTGCGGTGGATGCTCCGCCTCCAGCGCCAGCTTTCATGCCTTGATACGACTTTGGCACACGCGCAGAAAGCCCAGCGGAAAACAAGGAGCGTGTATGTGAGGCGAAGATTCTACTGCCTTCTTAGCTTGTCACCGGATACAGTGCTATCGCACCTTCATTGCATTTGACGAAATGTCTTAGCCAGGTAATTTTTTCACAAAAACGGAGCTACGCCTTGGCGTTTCACAAAATATTATGCGCCAGTAAAATACTTCCATGAAAGTTTGTGCTACCTACGTGCAGGCGCCAAGATTTCCAGTTTCCTTTGCTGCCAACCTCTATAGTTTTGTCATCCAATGCGATTGGGGGATAGCTAAGTTGAAGACTTAAAATCTACCGTAGAATTCCGAGTCAGTGGCCACCCGCAGTGGAGTGATAAGAGGGAAAATATGAGGTGGGCGTACTTTTGGGGCAGGGCGTTCAATCGGGATTTTAAGAAAGTTTCTTTAGTTGAAGGCTGCTTTACACACTTGGTTGCAACCAAGAGTGTTGCGCGCTCCTGTGATCTTTTATGATCACAGAACACGCTCCGCCAACTATTGGGTAACCGTGAAAAACTTGCGATTTTCGTATATTTCCTAACTTTTTTTTTTCCGGTTTAATTATTTCGCTATGGAAACTTTTCACAATGTAATAAACAAAAATTTCTTAAGTATGGTACGCACGTATGATCTCGCATATACCGCAAAACCTTCACTTTGGTGAAAGGCAGTTCCAGAGCCAGCTCATAGATGGCGCCGACGCGCCACTGTGTTCTCCCGTTTTAAGAGATGGCTGCACGGCGCACTCGGCTGCATCCAAACGCAGGTGTGTGAACCAACCATAAGGATGTCAGTGAAACGACGGCCCCCTTTTAGTGGTTTTCATGAGGTAATAAGTCCTTCCGACTAGCTTCAGCTACGTTCGTGGAATATCAGGCGAAGGTGAGATCACCTGGAGTGCACCACTCGGGGTCGCATTTCTCCCACGGCAGGGTCCTCGACCACGAAGCGAACATGTAAAATAACGTCCAGGCGATGATGAGGTTGTAGTAGAGCATCACGATGCCGGAAACAAGCACCATACCGTAGCCTAGACCTGCAATTGGGGAGAGAAGAAACATGTTACGTGAATAGGCGTTTGAACAATTGAAAAGATATGCAAACGAAGTGTTACGTTTCAGCGTTTTAGCTTAGCATCTAAGTTTCAACAATCCACTATTCTCCAACTATGAAACTTGTAGTCTAACGCAACGATCTTATTGACTGCGATGCGATAATAAGGTGTCTAGCACTTGTCACGCCTTGCGTTTTTTGTGCTGCCCGTGTCTATAACAATGTTGCGAAACGTACGTGAACTGACTTGATTCCATCTATTTTAACGCGTTTTACATTTGATTTACTGATCAGACGTCTGTTTCGAGTTTTAGAGCGTCGCTTCTTTCCTTTTAAACATTCCAAGTCTGTTTTCCTAGGCTGCAGTTGATCGTGTACCCCCGTAGAACCTCCGTTCATTCAAGAAGAAATGCTTAGGCCCACCATCCAATCTCACGTGAACGTAGAATAATTTTACCTGTGTCATTAACTTCCGTCACATGGGCACGTCACGCGGTAAACGTCCCCGCTACATTTTGACGGAAAGACTTCCCCGGTAATTTTAGCAGTAAAAATGTGATACGTTCAATTCGTGATATTACAATCCTCAGTGACGTTACACCCAAGCTAAGAAACGAAAATACGTTTCAACATTTGAAAAGACAGAAAAGTAACAAAAACAATTTTAACGGGCTTAAATTTTATTTTTATTTTTTGACTAAAATTATTTTTTTTAGCAATAATTACGCCATTAGACGCAATGTGGTTGAAAGTCGTGGAACGCTGTAAGCCCCACCCACTGATCAGTGGCCCCGCCCATTACTACTGGATTGACTTGGCTGCTCGACTGAACACGCTAGGAAGTCTAGTATCTCCCTTCCGCGACATCCGGTGTGTCCAGCCTGGGCACCGCTTGCTGGTCGTGCGAGCAGACGCGCGGCAGCCACTGGCATCGTCTGCTATTTCACCACCGGCTATCGCCGTCTGCAGTGCCGGTGAGACACGGACAAAAAGCTGCGCGTCGGAGTCCGTTTTCGCTTCCGTCTGTCTGTTATTCCACCCCCGTCTAAAAACGTCGGCAACGCTCGTAAGACGCGACCATGAAAGCGGCGTTCTAGTGTTCCATCATGCACGCGCTGCTCTCCAATACAAGCGTCTGTCAGCATATGTCGATGTGCGGTAAAAAGCGACCGAGAGGACTAAAAAAAATGCGAAATAAATATGCAGTCCTTCCAACTTTCTGTTGTAATTTTTTCGCATGGGATCCGCGAGCAAGGTGGATGAGCATAATGACGCACAACTTAAACGCGACCTAAAAAATATTCGCATTGGCAGGCCAGGTCCACTGCAAAGCGTAGAGCTACTTTCCTTTCAAAGAAAAATGACGGGAACAAAGCTGGATAAACTTAACGCGAAACGAACGCGCGATTGCCTCCAGCCAAATCGCTTCCAGATTCTTACCGGTGTATTTACCTTCACGGCATTGAAACCATGGTTGCAATCACAACGGTCGCACAATTCACAGAGCAGCGGGGCCATTTTTACGGGAACCAGTATCTTTATCCAGCATCAACACGCGCAAAGGAAGGAACAAATCAAGCCAGATCAAACCAACATAGCTGAAGTGGAACGCTATACACTCCGTGCGACGCGACCGGCGCGCCGCCGCGCGGCCGTTACCGAAGGTAGGCAGTGAGAGTCCCAGCGAAACGAAACCACGCCGCGTACACTGGTTCGCATTGAAGTCGGAGCGGTGCGGTTGCTTTGGGTTGACAGCATGAACTGCTGCGTCGTTAAGTGCTCCAATAGTTATGCGCCGTATCTCGCGGGGACGAAATTTCACAGTTTTTCACCTCGCCGATGTTTTGTGGGACAGCTACAACGATGGACCGGTCGCGTAAGACGCGAGAAATTTGGTCGCCGGATCATGTCTGCCGCTGTGTCGGCACGGCTGACATATTCTACACTGCCGCTTTGCGCTCTGCGTTTGTTTTCGTACCAGTAATGATATCCCACATTCACAGGTATGCAGTGCGAATTTCGTTGAAGGAATGCCCTCCAAGGAAGTTTCGTCTTCCTCGTACGTGTCGATGATATTTCCGGACCAGTATGGCACGCAGTCTGTACTTCATGAAGAAAGATTCGGACGGTACAAAAAGCGACCATTATGAATCTAAGGAAAACTACAATGAAACTTGGAATGAATGGACAATCGATGTTTGAGTATTGAAGTTTATGCGGTGTGCTTTCTTTTTGATCGGCCTCCTTTTGGATGTGGAAACACTGACACCCCGTGTCTTGTTGACAAATTTTTTTTCTCGACTTTAGAACTACCTATCGCAAAGTTGTTCGAACTGGAAGTACCGTCCACTGGTACCTTCCTACCTGTAAAGTATGCACCTCCCGGCCATGATGAGTGGTATTCTCTTGACAGCCTTTAACGGTCAAAACCGGTTCCATTTAGTTACGCCGCTCAAAAATATTTTCACCTGGTTAAACTATGCCATCTTTTTAAGGTATAATAAGTGTTTTGTCAAGTTACGGTTTTCCAAGATCTGTGTGCCGAAAATCAGCCCCTCGCACAACCAGATTACTACACAACAGCTGACCGCAAAAGCCTTTGACGGCCAAACCGTGTGTTAATTGGCCGGCAAACTTGGTTTTCGCAGCTTTGAAGCCACCTTTCGCAAAGTTGCTTCAATTGGAAGTACAGTGCAGTAGTCACTTCCTACCTGTAAAGTCTCCATCTCCAAAGACCAGTGGTATTCTCTTCACAGCCCTTTCACGGACAAAACCGTTTCCTATTCAGTTACGCCGCCCGAACCTAATTTCCACCTGGTTTCCCTATGCCACCTATTTTTGGTATTATAACTGTTTTGTCAAGTTACGGTCATGTCCAAGAAACTGTGCGTCCAAATCTGCACTTCGCACAGCCCGGTTATAACACAAGATTTTGGATCCAATATTGGATATTCCTGACAGCTTTATTCCTTTATTCGTTAGAACTATAGCTTTCACACCTGCTGTCTTAATAAAACTTGGCCCACTTAGTGAACATCTCACTCACCTCCAAATATAATCTCCCAGCAGTCCTACGTTTACAGCGACGAGCGAAACAAATTTCCCACTGAGAGCAATTATGGTGGCGGCCGTCTTGCTCTTCGGAAAATTTCTCAAACACCCTTTTTCGACCACAACTTAAGACATATTACCCCTAATAACAACTCAAACTCAATATATAAAGAGGGGAGAACAGCCTAAATACCTTTCTCAAATCTCTCCCAGCACTCATGCCACGTCACACTCAACTTATCGGCTCAAAAAGCAAAAGTTCCGTCCGTGCGCGCTTCCGCCGCCACAGCTTCGCACGCGAAAAGGCGCCGCAGGCTGCTGAGCGCGCCTCACTGTCGAACGCCAGCTCCGCCGCTAGCGGCGCTACGCGCGTTTTTGAAAGCGCCCCCTATAGTTCCCGCACGGAGGGTATAGGCTTTGGCCAGTCCCGCTACCGCCCGCTACCAGCCCAAGCACCTGCCCAGCGCCAACAGCGCTTCAGAAAGCATGTGCTTGCAACACGCTTACTGAAGAAGGGATAGGGGGTAGGCTTGAATGCTAGCTGCCTCGAGGTCTACCCATTATCCTTTCAATAGGAGCCAATCAGAGCTCAGCGTTGTTCTGACGTCACCGGAACCCCTGCTCAAGAAGCAGACGAACTTGCACATTGGATTGAGACGATCCTTTCCCGATGTCTTTTTCTTTTTTTCACTAGGTTCCCCCTTTTCTACAAAAAATTTCGGGTAATTTCATTATGATTAGAAAACTCAGTTAAAGGGCAACTCCGCTCAATTCCGAAAAATTTAGACTTACATGTGATTCCATTTCACAAAGCACTACTAAACAGCTCTACGCCCTCGGATTCGCGAAATGTGGAATATTATTTGTGTAATCCTAATTTGAACATCAGCTGATACCGAAACCGAAACTTCGGTTGCGCCAGGCAACATTGGTCTCGTGCCGTCAGAGTCATGCCACGTCAGGTCGAATTACGTGGTCTTGTGACGTTCGTGGGGGCGAGGGACAGGACACGCGACGCGGGCAGGTCGCTTCGCATGGCGTGGACGGTGATGGCCCGGGGGAGAGGGGGAGGGGGAGAAGACGAAAGGGGAGAGGGGGAACGGAGAAAAAGACCGATAAGCGCGCAGCGCAAACTAGCGCATCCGCGTAACGGTGATCACGTGGACGCCGTTCAGCCAACACAGGGAGGAGAAACTCATGACGTCATCGTTCAATTTCGCTCTGAGAAGTAAAAACAAACAAAACGTGAGAATGACGTAGTCATGCCTCTGACGTAGTGGCTCAACGTTGGCCGCTCCAACTCCGTTGCATTGACTTTGCCGACGATTGCGCGTCACGTCGCACGCTGGAGATGGCAGATTTCGGCGACTTGGCTGATTTGAAAGTTTGCTGGCCAGTTCATTAGATCGTAATATTTGACATGGGGTCTTCCTATATGATACTGAAGAGGGCTACGTAGTTTTCTAAATATCAAAAATGAAGCAGAGTTGCCTTTTAACGATCTCCGCCACGGAAATATTGGGTAAACATCCGCGTTGCCATGGCATTGCCGGGGCAACGCGGTTGTTTGCCCCATATTTTCGTGGCGACGTCCATTGAATCGGTGTCGGAACGGTGAGATTTGAATTTCAACACATGCCTGACCAGTAGGAAGTCGGCGTGTAGCGGGCACTCTCGACACCGCGGGAGCGTCGTGTAGAGCGAGTCGTCATAGCGCGGCTTTGGAAAGCGAGTGTGTCAGTCGTCGCTGAGAATGACGCTGAGAAGGGCACCACGGACTGACAAAGCCGTACAAGCCCTGCATCCACTAGGTGTTCGTTTCGCTCGGCCGTGATGAGAATGCAGGTTCGCAACGAAATTTCTTTTGGTGCGCCGATCGTATCGAAAGCCGGCCGCAACAGCGAGCAGACGAAGCACACCGCAGTCACGGAGCAGACGTAGCCTTAGCCTAACGTAGTCGACCGAGCGGCGAGCAGACGATGGAAGCTTAGATGAGAGCGCGTCGGTGTGCAAGGTAGTCTGGGATTGAGTCCTTTTCTCGCGTCGCTGGGCTTGACGTCACATCGGGTTCTGCCCTATTTCAACGTTCTTCTTTGAAACCGAAGCGGAAGGCCAATCTCGGGATATTTTTGAAAACAATAATCACTCTATCTAGACTAGTTTTTTCTCAAGCATAAAAACGTTGTCGATTAATATACTACTACGGCACGGAGGGACAATTTGACAACCAACCATCACACGTCAATCATCTCTCTAGCCACTGAGAGATATAAGCACCTTGTAAGCATGGGGCGGGGCTTAGCGTGCTGTGACCTCCACATTCCGCAGCTAAACTGCGTCTAACGGCGTAAATATTGCTCGAAAGTACGTTTTTTGTGAAAAAGCTCACACAAAAAAATTATATCCATTAATTTTTTTTTTTAAATTTCAGTGTCTCCTTAAGCTTTATTAGTTTGACAAGTGGCGTCTTTCCTTTACCATTCCTAGAAGACGCGCACTAGAACAAACGGGAGGGAGATATGTCATACGAACCGTGGAAGAGGGGGCAGAATCGCTCAAATATGGCGATGGGGCCGAGACTAGAGTATTGCCCGAACGACAGTTCCATGAACATGAGTGGAAGTCCGGCGAGGATCATCATGATGAAGAACGGGATCAGGAACGCTCCTGCAAGCAAGAAATATCAGGTATGGACCAACTGGCAACTCTGACGTCATGCCGCTGCGGTGGCACTGCTGTTCCCACTGCGCATGCGTAGATGCTTCACCTATGGCAAATCTGGTTTCTGCGTACGCGCAGTGCCCACACCTGGTGCGAGCGGACGCGCACTCGCTTATAAACATCACGTTCGCCTATACCCGCCATTTGTTTTCCCGAGTAGATGCTTCTCTACGTATCCGTTTAGTCTATGCACCTAAGCCTGACGCGAATCTACAGCTGTCGTGCCTAGCGTTCTACACTTTTAAAAATGCCCATGCACCAGCTTTCCCGCATAGACCTCGGAATGTGAATGGTTGCCATTTTGCGGAGAGAGAGCGGTAAGGAATGAATCTGGAGATATACGGAGACATGGAAATAAAGCCTACAATGTGACACCGAGGGTGACGCGAGCATTGGAAGTGCCATACTCTATTCCAGATACTCCATTCTGACTACACGGGAACAAAATAAGGGAGAGGAGGATATGGGAGTGCTCGGGGACGTCGAAGCGCGAGCTCTAGACGCCAAGGCTGACTGCCTTTGTCTCTATTCACTGTTCGAACCAAGAAAGTTCGAATACCCTAGGACCCGAGATGACGATGACGTCTTGGGGGGATTGGCGCGGGCGTTGTCTTGTAGGTGATATTCGGCGTGGCCGGCACTCACCGCCTCCGTTGCTGTAGACGAGGTAGGGGAACCTCCAGACGTTTCCCAGGCCGACCGAGTATCCGAGCAGGGAGAGGATGAAGTCGAAGCGGCCCGTCCAGGTGCCCCGCTCCGCGTAGCCGCCTTCCGAACCACGCTCTTCGTCCTCCCCTCCCTGCGGGGACAGCGGCACCTGGGAGCTGACCCTCGGGAACTCCTGCTCCCGATCATTCTGCGAGAGGAAAAGAAGGACTTATAGACGCGGACTCAGAAAGCACCTCGGTGTGCGTTTTGTGTTAAATCTGTCAGAATGTGAGTATGAGCAGGGCAACTCCTGTTCCCGTTCATCCTGCAGCCAGAGTAACAGGCAAGGGACTTAGAGACGCGTACTCAGGAAACGCCTCGAAGGGAGTTTTGTTTTAAATATTGCTACTCAGTAAGTGCTTATGAGCTGACCCTCGGGAACTTCTGTTCTGCGGTTATTCTGCGAGAGTAGGAGAAAAGGGACCTATAGACGCGGACTCAGAAAACACCTTGGGGTGCGTTTTCTTTTAAATATTGCTATACTCTGAATGTGCTTATGAGCTAATCCTCGGGAACTCCTGCTGCCGATGATTCTGATGCAAGACTAACCTTGCTTGAGGGAGTTTTGTACTAAATATTACTACATAAAAGGTGCTAATGAGCCGACCCTTATGGACGCAGATGCAAAAACGCCTTGGCCTGAGGGAGTTTTTTTACTAAATAATATTACATAGAATGTGCTTATGAGCCGAGCCTAGGTAACTACTGCTCCCTGTCATTATATGAGAGTATTAAGCCAGGGTCACACTGGTTATACGTTATTCAAAAACAGTCTGCAAAACGAGTCACGGCAATATCCGTGGTTCGAATGCTGCGCGCCAAGTTTTCTCCTTGAACTCATTGCTACGCGGCATTCGAAGCGCGGACCTCGCGGTGACCCGCGTTCGAATCTGTATGCCGACTGCCTTTTGTATCATGTATAAGCAATGTAACCCCGGCTGAAGAGGCATCTATAAACGGGACTCCGAAAACACCTTAGAAGTATAGTTTTGTTTTAAATATTACTACTTAAAATTTTACTACTCTATAAAACTATTACTACTACTACTCAATAAAATGATTACTACTACTACTCTACCTGTTACTACTCTCTACAATCTTACTACACTTTTACTAGTTCGACTAATTATTACTACTCTCTTATAAAATATCCATTTAAACGTTAGTACGCAGAATGCGTTTATGGGCTGACCCTTGGACATTTTCGCTCCCGATCCTACTGGAGGAGCAATAAGGGAGTTTCGACGGGGCTCAGAGAACACCTGGGAGTAGTTTTGTTACACTTTCGCCCCCTTTAAATATTGCTACGTAGAATACGTTTCTCAGCTGAGCCTCGGAAATGGTTCCTTTTGGTTGTTCTACAAGAGTAATGCCGGAGATTATAGACGGGACTCAGAAAACACTATATGAGGGCTTGGAGCTTGCAGCCTTAAAATAGAAAATATGAAGTGGGCGATCTTTGAGGTCTGGACGTTTGTTTAAAATTGTATGGTACTCTCTTTCCTTTTTTAGATATTATTAACGCCTAATGCATTAATGAGCTGGTCTTGCCGTGCGCCACAGTAACTAACAAAAATACGGGTTGCGGCTCTCTCTATAGATGTAGCTTGGAAGTTACGCACAGAACACTTTGTGCGTGTATAGCCTGTTGAACAAGTTTGAAATCACCCAAAACAAAACAAAAAAAAATATTTCACATGAAAGAGGTCTAAAACTCCGAGGTGAAAAAAACAACCAAAAAACACAAACCTGACAGTGTAAAAGCACCAAACACACACACACGCACGTGTACACACACATACACACGTACACGTACACGTACACGTATACACACACACGCACACACACACACACACACACACACACACACGCACACACACACACACACACCATATTCTGCGTCTTAACGTTATGCGAAAAATATTGCAATATTTTATTTTTCATTAGTCTACAAAGATGGAAATGGAGGCAGATATACAGACCGGTCTGGGATTCGTAATTAAAGAGAAGTTAAAAGAGCCATGAAAAAAGTTGTATTGGAAATTGCTGGGCAAATGGGTTGCATACGTGAGACGTTCTAGCATCACGTGACATCAGGTCACATGATGTCAATTCCCCCTAAATTTAGGGGGGAAACTGAATTAATGTACACGTCACGGGACGGTATTTATTCCCCTAAATTTAGCGGAGAAATCGACGTCACGTGACCTAAAGTCACGTGACCTATCAACTGATTCAACTTCCCCGCTAAATTCACCGGAGAAACAAAATTGGTGTGTAGGTGTGTGACATCCCATAATTCAATACTGCGCGCGTTGTTAATAGGGAGTTGTAGTAGATCGTTTTTCTCCTTCGCTACGGTATCCACGAAGAAAACGCCGCAGCTGCGCATGCGCGTCGCCAGCCGTCTCTGCATAGTTCAAGGTCTTGTGGTGGATTACGGAGCGCTATCCGGGTGCTTAGCGGGCGGCGGGAACGGTCTACTACAATCCCCTATTAGAGAGTTTTAGGGAACCGGAACAAAATACGATCGATAAACAAAAACGATCGATACCTTGGATCGGGCGTGTGGACCGATCGTGTGCCCTGAAACGGCTTTGGGGGAACCGTATTTGCAGACGATAGCAGACGATCGGTACAGGTCGCGCCCCCTGGCAACGGAAACCTGCATCCGCCTCATCGAGAAAAGACAAATTTGCGTTTGTTTGTACAAATCGCAGAAACTTAAGTAAATAGAGATCGCACCCTAAATATATAGAGAACCAAAAAATAGTATACCTACTTGTAGTTCGTCTCGTTTTTTTACTGGAATGAATGCGCTTCCGTAATACAAAAACTGGCGCACCACGGCGTGTCGCCCCTAGCACGGCGAAGTTCTAAAATGTTCGTCTGCTAAAGAAGCAGACGAGCTTTCCGGCAACAATGGCGCTCGATCTTTCTGACCATGACTTGGAGTTGGCTCTATTCAGCGAAAGCAATTTAGAAAAAGTGATTTTGTACGACTGTCTGCGCACTAAATGTGGCGTGAGTCTCTTTTGAACTTCCCGCTTTCTATAAGCGAGGCACGCACGCGCGTGCCGTGGGGCCCTGACTTGTGCAGGGGCACGAGGAAATAATCATTCTTTTTGGTTTGCCGTGACACGGAGTCAGTCGCATTTCTTTCGGGTGCCACCGAGCACCGATACACTAAGAGAAGGCGCTTGTTGGCGGCAAGGCATAGGACGTTCAACTTGGCGTAGCTTTTGAGTAAACAAAAAAGTTGTGATACCAGGAATGATGTGCGGATACCACGAATGACGTGCCAGCGTATTTTGGTTTTTTTTTTCTTTCAGTTTACCAGATTTATATACTTGGGGAATAAAATAATGCCTCGACCGTACATGGTAACCTGTTTTCAAATAAATCATGCGTTCTCAGCGGGCAAACTTCGGTGTTTTACATCAACAAATATGATGTTTACACCAACCACGTCCTGATATGCTGAAACGTTGCCGAAAGCAAACTCGATTTGGCACAAGAACACGCTCGCGCGCGCTTATCATCAACATTCGAAGTCGTCTGCTAGCGATCCTGTCTTTTTCCCTCGAGGCCCAATGCAGGATCGAGTATTAAGAAAGCAATGGACAAATAAAACTAGAAATATTAAATCTCGAAGAAAATACAAAAATAACCAAAATATACTCACTTTCTCAAGTTGATGCGGTCATTTTTCTTGTACAAAGCTAATTCAATACAATTTTCAATTCAATTTTCAATTTAATTCAATTTGTATTTTAAGATCAAGTCATACAAAATAAAGAGCTGGCCCACAAAAGCAGCATTCTGTTTGTATGTGGGGCCAGGCGACCAACTACAATACATGTTGTTACAAAAAAAAGAAAACACTCCGCAGCACAAAAAAAAAAAAAAAAAAATGAAAGGAACACAAAATTAGCGGCACAAATAAATACAAAAAGGAACACTTTAGAGCATGAAATATAGGTGTTTATAGCCAAGTCTACTCACGCAACCATGAAATAAAAGTACGAAATATCTCCAACGGTTAGGCTACGATATCTACAGCTCAAATGCTTGACACCAATTCCTTAATTTCTTTTTTAGTACCCTAGTGGATTCTATATTCATAAGGGACTCTGGGAATTCGTTACTTTCCATACAGTGTGTATATTCCTGAAATGACGTATCTTTCAGTACGTCTTAAATCTCTATTTTTATTTACGAGGAGGTCAATCCGTTCCTTCGCTCCTTGCAACGATAAGTTCTTTTTCAACGCTGCGTCATTCCAAAGTGCTGGAGCGAAAAAGGAGTAGCGCCTAGCAGCTCCTGAAGTAGAAAGTTGTTGTCTACTACTTTAAATCGCTTGCGAGGAGGAGGCGGAGGGACGGAGGTAGATGCGGCGCTCATGTTGCTCTCTTACGGTACAGGTAGCAGACGATCACGGTCGTACGCCCGCGTACCGATCGTTGCGCCGTGTACGGTACGACCACGAAGAAAATATAAAGGAAAACCTGTAACCTTACTGCTGTGCACTTATTAAAACTATCACCAAATATTCAAAGGGCTCGTTTTATGGGATATATGTGATTAGCATTTGTACAGAAATTTTTAATTCATGCAACATTTTTAAACTAAAATGTGTCCAGAGCCTTGATGCAGAAGGCTGTTGCACACTCTGGTGCCACTACAGATAATCCTGTCATAACAGCAGCTGTAAAAAACGGGTGATAAGTGCTCAAAATGCACATCCAATGTTTGTATTAAAAAAAAAAAAAAAAAAACTTATAACTTGTAAAAAAAAAAAAAAAAAAAAAAAACCAGTTGTCCCGGGCCGGCGGGATTCGAACTCTCCACTACCGGTCCTCTACGAGCTCAAGAAATCGGCGCTCCAATCCACTGAGCTACCGAGCAGACGAGTTTTGCCTGCACTAAACACCAATATCTTTCTATTGAAAAAGTCCTATTGCGTTTTGTTCTTTATTCTTTTTCTTTTTTGCTGACTCAAACTTTATGGACTTGCTGTCACACATGGCGCTCCTGCCAGGCACTGCCACGATTTATTTTATTCATGTTTGGAGCCACGACACGCTCTCCCCGCCAGCGAAATAGCCGTTTTGCTAACGAAGCGAGACTGTCCATGTCGGCCATTGG